GCATTAACCCGCAGTGCCACACCAGGTGTTGGTACTGTTGTCAAGTGCCATTGAGTCGGGTTAGATGGCAGGCAGGTTTTATTCATGGAGTTTAAAATGTTAAGGACAACAAAAAGAAGTCAGAGGGTTGGTAGGAAAGAAAAGAAGTGAAAATTGGTTTCCCAGGACAGCATCAGTGACCCACACCCATTCTTTCTCTGTGTGAACTATGATCTAAAGGTCCCCACACACACACACACACACACACACACACATACTCAGTTTTGTAAACCAACAGAGCAGTTACTGATACTTCCATCTTCAAGAGAATTTAAAATGCCTTTAAATTATTTAAATAAATCACCTGACATTTGGTATGGTTTAATTGCATGGGGAAATTTATATAGCTCTGAGATGGTAGATTACTGAAGATTCTGAGAATTCATTTTGTCAGCATATTTCCAGAATCTAAGAATTTGAGAATTCCATAGGATAAGCACTCAACCTCAAAGTCAGTTTGAACCCTAAGGTCAGCAGTTCTTACTCATCAGCTGCTCCTCAGAAAACCTATACAGGGTCGGTATGAGTCCGAATCAACTCGTTGGCACTAAACAACAACATAACTAAATTTAACCATTTGTTCGTAGTCTCTAGATCAACATTAAATGCACTTATCATCCTAATTTCTCTCCTTTTATATACAGACTGCTTGTCAATGCGCCAACCTCCTGTCTTTTTTTCTTTTGCTGATTTTTAAATTCTGCTTAAATGCATTTTAAAATCTGCTTTAAATTTCTGCTTCCTTTTTCTGTCACTTCTTTTGTCTCTCTCTCTTATTAACTCTTAGCTGACTGACTTCTACAGCAATATAAAGGTATATCTTTTTTCTGTATTAAATGTATTATATGCAAATTAATGGTTTTTCTCCCTTAGAGACAACAGGAATACTATCTGCTTCTCTGGGCAGCCTTTTGTGCATTTTTAATTGTGTCTTTTAAAAAAAGAGAACCCAGTATATAACAGACACAGACAGACAGAGATTGCAAATTAGTGAATGTTTCTATTTTGTTAATTAAGTTACATTCTTGAACGATAGTTGAATGAGAAATAAGTAATTTGCTTTGGGGAAATGACTGTCTTGCTAAGTATGTAATTAGCTGCGTTGTTTTGAAATTGTGATTTCTTAATTTCTCGCAGGACTCGAAAGCTTATTACCACCTGCTTGAACAGGTGGCTCCGAAAGGAGATGAAGAAGGCATCCCTGCTGTTGTTATTGACATGTCCGGACTAAGGGTAAGGACCTACCCCAAGCTCTATGTTGAGGACACGATGTTGCTTCCACACAGCTAGGCATTCCTTCACTCTGCACAACTGTGCTCTGGAGTTCCAAGAACGGGCATTTCTGTTTCAAGCCAATTGTGCCTGTTGAAACACACAGTGTTGGCTAACAATTATTGGATAACAATGGTGGGGTGGGGTAGGGTGGGGTGGGGTGGTGGATACCATTAAGGATAGGAAGACACTAATACTAATGCCATCCACCATGCTAGACATATATAGCCCTGGTGATGATGTGGATTAGGCATTGGACTGCTAACTCATGGTTCAAACCCACCAGCTGCTCCTCAGGAGAAAGGATGCTGTCTGCTCCCATAAACATTTATAGTCTTAGAAACCCAGGTAGGGTTGTTGTATGTCAGAGTAGCCTCTATGACAGTGGGATTTGTTTGGTTTGGTATTGCACCAAGAAGCCCCCTGGGTGGTGCCAAAGGCTTATAGAATGTGCTAACCTAAGAGTCAGTAATTCAAACACCCCCTGTTGTTGTTAGGTGCCATCGAGTCAGTACCAACTCACAGCCGTCCTATGCACAACAGAGAGAAACACTGCCCGGTCCTGGGCCAACCTCACAATTGTTGCCACGCTTGAACCCATTGATGCTGCCACTTGGCCAATCCATCTCTCTGGGTGTCTTCCCCCAAGAAAACCCTAGGGAGTAGTTTTACTCTGTAACGCAAGGGGTCGCTATGACCCGGAATTGACTTGATGGCACCAAGTTTTGTTTTGTTTGCTGTTTGTTTATTTTTGGTATGTTGTTGTTGTTGTTAAGTGCCGTTGAGTTGGTTCCGACCCATAGCGACCCTGTACAGGGTTTCCGAGGCTATAAATCTTTACGGGAGCAGAACGCCTTATCTTTCTCCCACAGAGCGGCTGGTAGTTTCGAACTGCTGGCCTTAAGCTTCGCAGCCCGATTGGTAACCACTACGCTACCAGAGCTCCTTAGCACCAAGAATTATTTATTTCCGTTTTTAAATACCTGAATCTTATTTCTGAAAATAGATGCACTATTTATAAAAATAAGTAAACTCTTAATTTAGAAAGGAAAAAAAAAAAAAAACTGTGACCAAAAAGGTCTCATTAATATATCCGAGATCACCTGACTGGGAGCTACTCGTTTTTCAGCATCATCTGCGCTTGCTGAGTCCCTTGCACCATGTCCTAGGCACATGCCTCTGTTCTTTGGAAACACCACTAGTAGATGTTATTAACTCTGCTTTATCGTTGGTTCTGGTAGTGTAGTGGTTACAAATTGGGCCGCTAACCTCAAGGTCAGCAGTTCAAAACTACCAGCTGCTCCATGGGATAAAGATGAGGCTTTCTGCTCCTGTAAAAATTTACAGCCTTGGAAACCCTATACAGGGTGGCTATGAGTCGGAACCGACTCCACGGTATTTAACAACAACAACAACATCGTTGAGAAAATGAATGGTCATAGACGCTAATAATGAACTTATGGTCCCACAGCTAGTGTGTGGTGTATGGTAAGGATTTACACCCAAGTTTATTCCAAAATTCACCCAGCCACCAGCCTGCCTCACTGCACTGATGAAGGTGACAGGAGAGAAGAACTGGGCAAGACCTTGTAGATTGAAGACCCTTGAAACTATAGTGGGCACAGTAAGAGTCTGAATGTAAAAACTTCAGTTTTTGTTTTATTAACATTGATCTTGAGACGTTGCCTCACCCATTGCTGTGCCTCATTTAATATTATTGACATTAAATCCAATGAGTTGGTATTGGAGTTAACGCATGGCTAAACAGGAAGGAAAGCTCACGAAATATATTGTGTTATCTACCAAAACATCAGATGGACTTCTGGTGTGGAGGTGTAGAATCAGCTCTAGACTGCAAATCACAAGACTGACAGTTCAAATCTACTTGCTGCTCCTTGGAAACCCTACATAGGGCTGCTTTGAGTCGGATGCGACTTGGCGGCACTTAACAACAACAATTGAAACATCACAGTAAGAAATAACTCTATTTTTTGAAATTTGGTAATTTCAAGATCTTTCAGGGTAGTGGGTCATATTCCAACAAAACTGTAGTTTTCTTCTAGGGGTCTGTTTACAAATGACTGAGAATTCTCTTAGAAATATTTGAATAGGCTTTTAATATGACCTCAATCTTAAATCCACAAAAGCCTCACTGATATTATGTGTTTATAATGGTGCTATTTTATAAGCTAGCTAAATAATCAAGCTTATTTTGCTTGGGCTGCAATTATCCCAATTCAGAGTGGTAAAGAGTAGTGGGTCATATTCCAACAAAACTGTAGTTTTCTTCTAGGGGTCTGTTTACAAATGACTGTTTGCAAATTGTCTCAGACTAATCAGGAGCTCCAACTGGCAGGTGTAAACATTGTTGAACTAACTACAGGAAGTCTACAATTGCTTAATGAGTATGCATTCTCATGAAGTCTGTTTAAAAAATAATAATGAGGAAGCTTAATAGTTGAAAATAAGACCAATTTAACTGATGAGATTATGGAATCTATTGGATCTTTTTGAAAAACCAGGCAGCCAACCATATATCTGAAAGGGATATATGAAGAGAAGGGAGCACACAGTGCCTTAATTTCTAAGATTCCTTTTACTTGCAACTGTCTGGTTTTAATTCCAGGCAAATTTAAGTAATCGTGTGATGTGATTAATAAGTATCTGTGGGGGTTCAGCGGTAGAATCCTTGCCTGCTCAATACACCTTGTGCACAGCCGCTACCTGTCTGTTAGTGGAGACTTGAATATTGCCAGGATGCTGAGCAGGTTTCAGGAGTGCTTCCAGATTAAGACAGACTAGGAAGACAGGCCTGAACACCAACTTCTGAAAATCAGCCAGCAAAACCCTTATGGATCACGGCGGAACATGGTCTTCCACGCATCCGACAGTGGGGTTGGTGTAGAACCAGGCAGTGTTTTGAGTCAGGGCCAAGTCTGCAGCAGCTAACTGCAGTGCCTGCCTTAGATGAACTTGGAGGTAAAAAGAGTCTGGCAGCTTTCTCACGGTGTGCGTGTTGAACTTGCCTCACTGCAGGAGAAGGATGACATCCAGAGAGCAGAGTGTATGCTGCAACAAGCAGAGAGGCTAGGCTGCCGGCAGTTTGTCACAGCCACTGATGTGGTCCGAGGAAATCCTAAACTGAACTTGGCCTTCATTGCCAACCTCTTCAACAGATATCCTGCCCTACACAAACCAGAAAACCAGGACATCGACTGGGGAGCTCTGGAAGGTAACTGGTTGTTTAAGATGTTAGGACAAGCACTTGCAATTCGAATTCAATGTTAATTCAAAACCTCCTCCCAAGAAAATGCAAACCACTCACCTACTGGGAGAGATTTAGAAGCAGGTCATCAATTCTCTGGTTTATAGCCAAGAGAATTAACAGATTAATCAAGCCAATTACAGCCAAGCAGGAGTAATTAAATATTCCCCTATCCCATCCATTATACAGGGTATATAGTGCATTATCAGAATTAAATGTTTTAGGGGAGGCAATGTATTTAATTATTGGAGGAAATAAACACTGAGTCTCCAATGCCTAATTTATGTACTTAATGGACTGAATGTTAATTCCTGGAGGCAAGAGATGGCATCCACCTTTCACCTAGAAATATTTGACTTATGCTAGCAGATGCTTACTGAGTGTTTTTTGTTTTCTTTTGTTTATTTGGGTTATGGAGGTACAGAATGATATTTTGAGGCAGTATCTCTGACCCAGAATATCATTTTGTGTTTTGGGGTTAATAACCAAAGTTAGGAGCAAGTACATAGCTTTTACCAGCTTCTAACAGATAAAAAGTGACAGAGATGTTGTCTTTCTTTCCTTTACTTTTTTCTTCCCAATATTGAGATAAGAAAAAAAATACAAAAACTAAAATTACTATCAGCAGAGCAAGAAAATTCAGATCTGAAGGTCTGTCTGACCCTTTCCAGCAATGCTTTCTCCTAGCTGGACATCAATCCATGTTCTACACTGCTGCAATCGTACCATTTTACGAATTGTGGTCAGGGATCCGTATATTTTGGTGACTTCCAAAGGTATAAGGTGACGGGGGTGCTTCAAAAAATAGCATGGAAAGATACTGGAATTTTTCCATTTGAAGCCCCCTCATATAGCAAGCTCTCCAGTCACCCATTTGCTCTAGGACACCCCCGTTTGCTGTAGGACACCCCCATTTGCTGTAGGACACCCCCATTTGCTCTAGGACACCCCCATTTGCTCTAGGATACCCCCATTTGCTGTAGGACACCCCCATTTGGACCCTTCACTGTCACTCAAAATTCAATATTCACAAAATAGAAATTAGTGGTGCGACTTGGAATTAGCATTCAGCTGCTAAGTAAAAGGTTGCCGCTTGGAACCCACCATGGCTCTGTGGGAGAAAGATCAGATGACCTGCTTATATAAAGATTGTTGTTGTTGTTAAGTGCTGTCGAGTCAGTTCCGACTCATAGCGACCCTGTAGAGGGTTTCCAAGGTGGGCTGGTGAGCTTCAGCTGTCGCCCTTGGGGTTCAAACTGACCTGGTAGTCCAGTGCATTAGCCCACAGCACCACACCAGGACTCCTCTGTATAGATTACAGTTTAGAAAACCTCAGTGGCAGTTCTACACATGAGACACATGAGTTAATCAAAATCAACTTCATGACCCCCAACCACAAGCTCACCACTTGCCTTCCCAGAGCCCTCAGCAGTACAAATGGCTAACACACTCTATGTGAGAGTGGTCGGGGCCCACCCAGAGGTGCTTCACAAGGACCTCACAGTGCCCAGCTACTACTATCAGCTCTGATCACAGTCGTCAAAGAAAACCCTGAGAAGAGTAGGAGAAAATGTAAAACAAAACTCAAAATCAGAAAAAGTCCAGGCTTGCTAATCTGATGGAAACTAGTGGAACCCCTGAGACACTGGCCCTTAGACACACTTCAAACCTGGAACTAAACCCCCCTCTGGGGACCATCTTTCAGTCCAACAAGAGATAGGTTTATAAAATGAGCAATAACATCCATCCATGAGGAACAATCTCCTCCGAACAATCAACCACAGGAGACCAAAAGGGCAGTAGTTACTGCCCAAAGACCAAATCCAAAAGGCAGAAAGGGACAGGAAAGAAGGATGAATGGAAATGGGGAACCCAGCCACTAATGCCATGAAACAAAATGCAGATAAACTGTTGAATGGAAAACTAACGTGCTTTGTAAATATTCACCAAAACTACAATAAAACATTAAAAAAAAAGAAACAAAAACATTAACATACAAAAGTTCTAAAGGAATGTTCCCATCACCAAAAGGAGAGGTGCTTCCTAAGATAGCCTTAACAATCTACTACCAAAAAATCTACCATTGAATCCTCTGCAGAGGACGACTCTGATACACAGGGGGTCACCAGGTGCTGTAATCCACTTGTCCTTATTGCCTCTTCACCACCATCCTTACCCCATCAGTTCTGTTTTAGAAATTCTCTGTTTCTATCAAGCCATTCTTCCTTTTATTACCCAAAAGCCTAGTCCTTGGGATCCACGTTGACTTCTACTTCAGCCTCCTATTATATCAGCAAACACGAATCATTTCTTCTCTTCTAAGCGCTCTTTGCCTAGTACGCCAATTATTTCAATTGGTCTCAGGAGCCTGCTCCTCCATTCATCAAACATTTCAGCGAGCCCCCGCGCCAGTGCCAAGCACATTCCCCCTCTGTGTGTTTAATTTATACTCACACCACCTTCTAATAACTCTGCACACTGCTGCGGACACATCACAATTCGGCTTTCATTGTCTCTGCTCACTGCTCAAGACTTTATTTTATAAATTCAAGTAATAAGAAACAAAAGAATCTATTAATGACTAATGTCCAATATATCAATTTCAAATTCTGCTCTGTGGCATTCAAAGATCTCTCGTCCTGGTTGCAGGTTCTGGGTGGCATTATCTCTGTATACTGAACAGTACACGTTCCTGGCAAAACAGTTCTCCGCATTCCTCAGGGAGGCCTTGTCTACTGTTAAGAACTTAAATACTGTTCATATTTAAACTAGGTTTTATTCCCACCACTTATCGTTCCTCCAAATGATTTCTTCTTTCCTCTTTAATACCCAGATTGACACTCAACCCTTATACCCTCCAGATTTAACCCTGAGCTACTAACCTCAAGGTTGGTGGTTCAAACTCCCCAGCTACTCCAAGGGAGAAAGATGAGACTGTGCCCCTGTAATGGTTTTCAGTCTCAGGAACCCTCTGTGGGGTCACTATGAGTTGGAATCAACTTGATGGTGATGAGTTTAGTGTTTCATTCTTTCCTCTAGGTGACACAGCAGCTAACTGAAAGGTCAGAGGTTCAAACCCACCCAAATGCTATGTGGGAGAGAGACCTGGCAATTTGCGCTCACAAAGATTATAGCCTGAAAACTATGGGGCAGATCTACTCTGACATGCAGGCTTCTATGAGTCAGAATCAACTCAGTGACATCCAGCACCAATAATAATGGTTGTTTTGTGGTTTTCTTCCAGCTAGGAAGGTCAGTGGTTCCAACCAACCAACAGTTCCTCGGAAACTTTTTACAGGGTGGCTGTGAGTCAGAACTGATTGGATAGCACTTAACAACAACAAATCTTATGTGAGCTGATGAGCAGGTTTTTTCTCCCACAGAAGAGCTGGTAGATTCCACCTGCTAAATTTCTCACTAGCCCAACACTAAGCATTCTGCTACCAGGGTTTATATTATTTAGCTGCTTTTGGTTTCAGCTCTTTTCACTTGTTCATGACCCCATTAGGTGAACCAAAGCAGGGCTTGTAGTGCAAATGATTACACACTGCTAACCAACAAGCTGGAGGCTGGAGCTCATCCAGCAGTGTCTCAGAGGCTAACAAATCATCCATTGTAAACCCTGTCATACGTAGGGTCACTATGAGTCTGAATAAACTCAATAGCAACTAGTTTTTGTGTTTTTTAAAGGTCAACGTCACTCCTAAACATGGGCACGTTTTCTAGGGGCTGACCAATACCTGGTTTTTATTCATTTAGGTGAGACACGGGAGGAGCGGACATTTAGGAACTGGATGAACTCCTTGGGTGTGAACCCTCGAGTCAATCATTTGTACAGGTAAGACTGTCTGGAATCTCACCTCTAATGTGAGACACAGAGACCTTAGAGCAGTCACAGATCCCAGATACAACTGTGGTGTGTCATTCTCATCACAGAAAAATGTGTGTGCTTTGATGTATAGCGATTGGATGTTCAGCTGAGAAACTTCCTTTCGTACATGAGGCTCATTATGTGGCTAATACAATACCACACTTCAACACAATGATAAGCTTACCACATGTCATAGAATCCTGGTGTGGCACCATAGGCTAAGCACTTGACCTCAAGGTCAGTTAGAACCGCAATATCGGTGGTTCAAACTCACCAGCCACTCCTTGGAAATCCTATACAGGGTTACTATGAGTTGGAACCGACTAGATGGCACTTAACAACATCAACACCACATGTTATAAGTCTATGATTTTCTCACAAGCAGTTAATACAATAAATGCTAAGCTTGTAGTTAAGTATCTCATAATCCCTGGGCAATGCAAGCAGGTAATGTGCTTGGTTACTAACTAACAGGTGGGAGGCTCAAGTCTACACAGAGTTGCCTCAGAAGAACCTGGAAATCTACTTCTGAGCCATTTTCATATCAAAATTGCCATTTTCAACGCAGCCATTGAAAACCCTATGGAGTTGAGTTCTACTGTAATATCCATGGGGTCACTATGAGTTCAGACCCATTTGATAGCAGCTGTTTTGTTTGGATTTGTTAGTTTATTTATGCCTGACTTAATTTTTTTTTTTTTTTCTAGAGCAGGAGGTCTTGGTAAAGGGGTATAGGTAGTCACAACTGAGGCGACCTTGGTATGTGTCTTAGTTTCTCCGAGTCATAATTCTTTCCTCTCTAAAGATGGAGCTACAGTTTTGCAGAGTTGTTCTGAATGCGTCTTAAGCTGATACATAAGGAAAAGCCTGGCCCACTGTAGGCTTGTCCTAAAAGTTGGATACTTGAGCATTCTTTTGTGTTTGTTTTTGTTCAGTGACTTATCAGATGCCCTGGTCATCTTCCAGCTCTACGAAAAGATTAAAGTCCCTGTTGACTGGAACAGAGTGAACAAACCACCATACCCCAAACTGGGGGGCAATATGAAGAAGGTAAACAATGACTATTCTGATGTTCCCGTAGGCAGGTGAAGTCATAACCTGCAAGGGCACTCACTATGTGAATTCTTTATCAGGAGGCCAGACTTAGATAGATAAGGTTTATCCAGGCATTTAATTATAGCACTGCAATTAGAAACCTGGATAGTTTGATTAGAGTAAGTAATTATTTCCGTTTTATTAGATGAATTAAATATCTCAGTTGATTACTTGCTTACAGTTCTTTGCTGGATATCTGTAAACATTCTGATATACAAATTCTAATTAAAATAATTAGAGTAGGAAAAGATCACAATGATTTTGTTGCACAGCTGATTGTTATCACTGCTGTCACTAGATTATACACTTGTAAAAAATTGAATTGGCAAAAAAAAAGTGTGACAGATATATTTACAACAGTGACCCCCCCAAAAAAGTGTTGCTGAGGCTGTTTATGTGCAGCCAAACACCTTATGGGGTTTGGATTCTTGGAGGTTTAGAGTCATGGTTTCATGGGACATCCCAGTTAATTGTCCTAATTAAGTGTTTAGAGCTTCTGTTCTTCCTCCTAGTTCTTTTCTACCTGCCAGGTGTCTTAAAAGCTTTCAAGCAGCATCTGAAACACACCAATTGCTCTCTACTCACCTGGAGCAACAGAGGTAGAAAGAGAATCCAGAATAGGAGAAAGGAAAATGTGGCTAACTGCCTCCTTTATCATGAAACCATGATGGTGCCAGGTTACCATTACTAAACATTTGGGTCAAAGATCCATAGAAGAATACTGATCAAAAAGGGGAAAATGCAGAACAGAATCTCACATTCTCATGGACTCCAGGCTTTCTGAAGTCATGGAGGGTGGATGAACTGCTGTAACTATTACCTGAGACCATCTTTAAACCTTAAACCACGACTATCCCTTGAAGTCATGTTAAAACCAAACAATGGTTTTAGTTTAACTAGTAAAAAAGGTCTTCCTTGAGCATTATGCTCTTTTAAGAACTCTCCACAGGGAATCAAATTGGAAACAGCAACTTGAAAGAGTGGACAGGAACTTTAGGGAGTGGTGAGTTTATGTTAGAAGGAGGAACAACTTAGAAAAGGAAGTGAGAATGGGTGTACAACTCAAAGACTCTAAACAGTGTCACTGAATCAACCATGTAGAAATGGTTTCAAAACAGAGAGATCAAGAGCAAGCAAAGCTACAGTGTTGGTTTCTCTCAGCAGGATCCTCATTGTAACTTCCAAAGAACTGGAGCTTGGTACTGACAATGTGACTTGTACAAAAGTTTGTCTACTGACAACATCAATGAGAACGCATTGCTTGGCAAAGCAGCAATAGAGTTGGCACAACCATTGCTCATCGTTGCTTCTTCTTTTTTTTAAGTTTTTATTGTGAGTTGAGTGCAAGTTTACAGGGCAGATCATATTTCTACAATCAACAAATCATACACTTTGTTTCATTACAATGGTTATAATCCCCTCCATGTACTATCAGTTAACAGTATTTCTCTCTATTCATTTTAGCTTTTTATTTTTGTTTTAAAACACTCAGGCATATATAATAATTTATACTACCAAAGGGCACATTCTGCGAGTCTGCCTCCTGGCCACCAGCTCTCAGTCCCTCTCTTTCCATGACCTCAGCTGCTCCCTCTCTCTATGTCCCCATCGCTGCCTCCATCTCTGGTATCCCTGTTTCTCTGGATAAGGTCTCGCATTCCGCTTGTGCACTTCTCCCCTGATGGTCCTAGGGTCTTCTGTTTCTGAACTGTAAGATTAACTGTCTTACAGTTTTGTTACAAAACTTCTACCTTTACAATTGTGTTACAGTTAACTGCAAGATTAACTACCTTTACAGTTTTGTTACAAAACTTCTACCTTTACAATTGCGATAGTCGCAATTAGTCATGATAACAATTACTCACTATTGAATCATAAGGATCTTATCCCCATCTCTTTTCCCCAGACCCATCTAGACAAGATGAAAACTATTAAGTGGGGACTGCATTCCTCCACCCACTTCATCATTGCTTCTTGCTTCTGCAATCTCTAACAGTCTCTGTCCAACCACAGGTCTACCTGTCCACATGTTAGGCCACTGTGTGCACGGACTATGGAGAATACACATTTTCCATGCCATGCTCTGAATTAATATGTTTTAGAAATATGTACACAAAACTGAGGATGATTCTCTATATATGAAGTGTTGTGTTGCCACGAGAATGTTTAGGATTAGAGTTCCTGAGTGGCAAAAACAGTAAAGCGCTCGATCAGAAGGTTGGCATGCTTGAACTCATCCTAGGACACCTTAGAACAAAGGCCTCACGATTTGCTTCCAAAAGGTCCCAGCTCTGAATATCCTACAGAGTGCAGATGTCTTCCACAAATGAGATTACAGTGTGATATAGTCGTAAAGATGTTTATAATAGTGAACTCACTTTGGTTTTGCGCTTCAAGCATGCTCTGAATACTTTTGGTGGAAGTGAGGAGTCCTATTAAAAAAAAAAAAAGATGCCAGAATTGCAGTCAGGAGAAACAGAAAGATCACTCGGTCTGCCCACACTTCCTAGCTGTGTCTTTATTTTGACTGTCTTGTTTTACATGACATCAGTCATTACAGAGGTGATAATGTGACATTGTTTTATTTCATGTTTATTAACAGCTTGAGAATTGTAACTATGCAGTGGAATTGGGGAAGAATCAAGCTAAATTTTCCCTGGTTGGTATTGCTGGACAAGATCTCAATGAAGGGAATCGCACGCTAACATTGGCCTTGATTTGGCAGCTAATGAGAAGGTAGGGAAGCTCAAAAGAGTGCCTTATGATGTAATGTTTGTCTAGAAAAATGCTAGCAAATTTTAAGGACTGTGGTTGAATCCAGTAAAGCTATATTTCAAACTAAACTTAATAACCAAAGAACTATTTTTAAATTTTTCCTTTTTTTTTTTTTCTTTTCTCTCCTTTAATTTCCATGAATTTTTGTTTCAGGTATTTTGAAATGCTGTCATTAGGTCCATTAACATTTTAGATTGCTGCATTGTTCTTTTTTCTTTTAAGCTTTTAATTGTGAATTGACTGAAGGTTTGCAGAACAGATCATTGTTGTTGTTGTTGTAAGTTGCCATCAAGTCAGTATGAACTCAAAGCAACCCTATGCACAACAGAAAGAAGAAACACTGCCTGGGCTTGAGCCAACCTCACATTTGTGGCCACACTTGAGCCCATTGATGCTGCCACTTTGCCAATCCACCTCGCTGGGGGTCTTTCTCTTTTTCTCTGACCCTCCACCTTACCAAACATGATATCCTTCTCCAGTGACTGGTCACTTCTGACAATATGTCCAAAGTATTTTGGCCATTCTGGCCTCCAAGTAGCACTCTGGCTGCACTTCTTCCAACACAGATCTGTTGGTTCTTTTGGCAGCCCAGATCATTAGTCCCACATTGAACAAATCAATCATCAACCCACATTCAACAAATGATAGATTGCTACATGCTCTTAATGAATGACGCCTTTATCTTTTGGGATGGCCCTTGTTTTGCCTGTTAATATTGTTTTCTCTGAAACCTGCATTTTTCTGATATTAATATAGCAGCTTTCTTTTGATTTATGTTAGCATGGTGTATCCTTTCCCATCATTTTACTTTTAACTGATTTATGTCAGTAACAATTCTTTTTAAAGAGGGTTTTTTCTAAATAAGGGGGAAATATGGTGTATTTAAGGAGCTCTGGTAGTGTAGTGGTTATGAATCAGGCTGCGAACCACAGGTCAGCGGTTCAAAACTACCAGCTGCTCCATGGGAGAAAGAGAAGGCTTCTGCTCCTATAAAGATTTACAGCCTTGGAAACCCTGTACAGGGTCACTATGGGTCGGAACTGACTCAACGGCACTTTAACAACAACATGGTGTATTTATCCACATATTTGCCATTTCTGGTATTTTTCATTAGTGTTGATCCAGGTTACTGTGTGGTATTATTTTCCTTCTACCTGAAATACTTCTGTTGATGAATTGTTTTCAGTTCTTTCCCATGGAACGACTGGTATATTCGAACTGTCGATCTCATGATTAGCAACCCAGCTCGTAACCCACTACACTCCCAGGGATCCTCATCTTTCATATGTCTGAAAAGTTTTATTTCATTTTTGATTTTTGAAAGCGTTTTTCTCTTGATGCAGAAACGTAAGTTATTAACTGTTTTCTTTCAGTACTTCAAAGACACTCTTCCTCCACCTTCTGGGGTGCATTGTTTCTAAGGAGAACCCCTTTGTCATTCTTATCTTTCTTCCTCTGTATGGACTATATTCTCTGAATGCATTCAAGATTTTCTTTTTCATTGGTTTTAAGCAATTTGACTATGGTGTGTCTTGATACTTCTTTGGTAAGATTTGTTGAGTTTCTTGGATCTGTGGATTTATAGCTTTTCACAAATTTGGAAAAATTTTGGCCTAATCTTCAGATAGGTCTTCTGTAGCCCCCACCTCCATTTTTGGTACAATTGATATCGTTCTGGGGCTCACTGATGCTCTGTTTATTTTTCCTTCTGTTTTGTTTTTTCTCTTCTATGTTTCATTTTGGATGATTTCAATATGTCTTGATAGCGTGTTTTATCAGTGTCCGACTGAAGAAGTTGGTAGAATTCTTCAGTTTTCTCATCATTAGCTTTAGTGGTTGGTATGTAAAGCTAAATATTAGTGGTATTCATTTGTTGTCCTTGTAGGTTTATGAATATTGAACTATCACAGACAGCATTGTACTTTCAGAGAGCTCTTGAAATGTTCTTTATAATGATGACTCTGATGCCATTGCTTCTTAATTTGTTATTCCCAGCTCACTAAAATCATATTGTCTACTCATTGTCTGACTCAAAATGGCCAGTATCAGTCCATTTCAACTCACTAAGGCCTAGGATTTCAACCTCTATGTGTTCCATTTTATTTTTGATGACTTTCAATTTTCCTAGATCACACTTCATATATTTCACATTCCAATTATTAATGGATGTTTATAGCCATCTCTCCTCATTTTGAGTTATGCCCCACTTGCAAATGAAGCTCCCAAAAGCTTCACTTCACTTGTGTCATTAAGATCAACTCTACTCTTCCCCAGGTATTTTCTGAGTGTTTTCTAACCTGAAGTGCTCAAATGCAAACACTTTATCAGACAGTGTTCTATGGCTATGCATAAGGTTTCCGGTGACTAACCTTTCAGAAGTGGTCACCTATACTTCTCGTTAGTCTGTCTCAGTCTGGAAGCTTCACTGAAAACTGTCTGCCATTGATGACCCCGTTCATATTTCAAATATAGATGGCTTCACTGCCAGTATCACAGCAACGCACAAACCACTACAGTACAACAAACAGAGCCACAAGTGGTGAATGTGTGTGTAGATATATTGAGAAAATTTTGTATTTGAAAAAAACTCCCAGATTAACCACGTATTCTAGAAATAGTGAAAAAAATTAAGAAAATAATAGGTATACCATGAATGCCTAATATGTAATTATTAGTTTACACCAGTGTCCTGCTTTGGCTCTTTAAGATAAAGCACTGGACTGCTAATCACAAGGTTGGAGGTTCAAACCCACCAGCCACTTCTTGGAAACTGTACAGGGTTGCTATGAATTGGAACCAACTTGATAGCACTTAACGAAAACAACAACTATAAAATATAAATGAATCTATTATCAAGAATTTTAAATGATCAAAATTCACACAAATACTTATAGACTGGACGTACGCCATTCACCGCAGAGAGGAATGTAAACAAATGCAAAGAAGCCATATTAAACCATAAATTAACTGTTATACATCCTGGCATGGTAGTGGTAGTGTGCCGTGGGTCAGTTCTGACTCATAGCGACCCTGCATAGAGTTTCCAAGGCTATAAATCCTTATGGGAGCAGAAAGACTCATCTTTCATCCATGGAAGGGCTAGTAGATTTGAACTACTAGTTAGTAACCCAATTCATAGCCCACTACACTGCCAGGGCTCCTTAGTATGCGCTGTACTACTTTGATATTTTATGTAGTCACTTCCTGTTGCTATTGTGGTGAGCCTAAGTGAGATACTAGTCCCTTCCACATGAGCAGCCTATTTCTCTAGTAAATTATGCGTCACAGTAAGAAGTGATCTCTCACGGTTCTCCTGGGTCTTTCATGGTGTTCATTGCAATACCATAAACCCAGGGAATCCATATAGAGTGCCACTAGTGATGCTAGAAGTGCTCCTGAGAAGCAGAGAAAAGTTATGACATTATAAGAAAAAGTTGAGTTGTATGCTACGTACTGGAGATGGAGCTCTGCAGCTAGTCCCGCCATCATTTCATTATAAATGAATCTAGCTTGAAGATCACTGTGAAAGAAAAGAAGAAGAAAGGACATTTGTGTAGCCATTGCTGAAAAATACCTTTTTAATCGCGTATTAAAAATGCAGCTTTTATATGGGTGCAACAGTACTAAAGGAAAAGCATACTTACAGACTCTAATATGATTTGAGAAAAAAGTGAAGACACTATATGACAACTTAAAACTAAAGGAAGGTGAAGGATCTAAAGAGAGTTGAATGTCACCAAAGGATGGTTTGATAATTTTAGAAAGAGGTTGGGTTTTTTTTTTTGTTTTTTGTTTTTTTTTAATGTTTCAATAACAGGTGCTACAGCTTCCGCTGAACAAGAAGCAGCAGACAAGTTCCTAAATGCCATTAAGAAAATAATTGAGGAGAAAGGGCATCTGCTTGAACAAGTGTTTAATGCAGTTGCAAGTGCCCTATTCTGGGGCAAAATGCCTAAAGGACTTTTACTAATAAAGGGAGAGAAGTGAGCACCAGGATTTATGGCAGGGCAAGGCTAACTCCTGTTTTGTACAAGGACAGTCAGATGTGTGATCAGGACTACTCTTATCTATAGAGTTCTGGTGTGGTGCTGTAGGATCAGTACTTTGCTAACCACAAAGTCAGTGGTTCAAACCCACCAGGCGCTCTTCAGACACCCTATATAAGGTCACTATGAGTTGAAGCTGACTCTGCAGTACTTAACAACAACAACACCAGCAACACTCTTATCTATAAAGCTCCTAATCCTGAGCCTTGAAGGGAAAAGATAAACACCAGCTTCCAGGCTTTTGGTTGTGAGCCTTGAAGGGAAAAGATAAACACCAGCTTCCAGGCTTTTGGTTGCACAATAAGAAGACCTGGAATGATTTCATCATTGCTTTGTCCCTGAAGTGAGGAAGTACCTTGCCAGTAAGGGATTTTAAAAGTTCTTTTGATATTGGACAATGTCCTTAGCCACCCAGAGCCCCATGAGGTCAACACTAAAGGCATTGAAGTGGTTTTGTTGTTGTTGTTGTTGCCAAGTGCCATTGAGTCAGTTCCAACTCATATTGACCCTGTTTAGGGTTTCTAAGGAGTAGCTGGTGAACTTGAACTGCTGACCTTGAGGTTCAAACTGACCTTGCAGTCCAGCTCATTAACCTGCAATACTACACCAGACTCCGCTGAAATGGTTTACCTGTCCTCAGATATAATGGCTTTAATTCAATGTGTCGATCCGGGCATCATAAAGACTGTTAAGGTTCATTGCAAATGGTACTGTATGGAAAGTATTGCCAACATTGTAGATAAGAACACTGACAGAACATCATGAAATTCTGAAAGGATGACTTCATGGAAGATGCCATCATTGTTACACAAAATGCCCTGAAAGCCATCAAGCCCCAAACAAGAAATTCCTGCCGGAGAACACTGTGTCCAGATGTTGTGCATGACTTCACAGGAGATCCATCGGAGTTCGTCC